CGGTGGGAAGCAGAGCTGGGGGGGTGCAGGGGGGCTGGCCGGGGAAGTGAGGGAGAGGAAGTGAGGGAGAACCGGCCGGCCAGGAAGGGAGGAGAGTGAGCAAATTGGCCAGCGGGGAGCGGGACTGACCCGGGCACTTGCTGCCTTTCCTGCGCAGGCTCCCGGCGACTCACAAGCAAGGAGGAGGTTTCCCCTCCTCCTCACACTCAACCACCTGAGGGCTCCCGGCAGCAAGCGTGGCCCCACCTCCCACGGGAGAACCGGCCGGCCAGGAAGGGAGGAGAGTGAGCAAATTGGCCAGCGGGGAGCGGGACTGACCCGGGCACTTGCTGCCTTTCCTGCGCAGGCTCCCGGCAACGCACGAGCGAGGAGGAGACTTCCCCTCCCCCAAGCGTGGCCCCACCTCCCACCTGGGACTCCCAGCCACTCCCCCGCACATGCCAGGCTTCCGTCTGGTGTGCAGCTGGAAAAATCAGAAAATACCGGACATTGCACATGTCTGGTATTTTCTGATTTTTTTTACCGGACAGAGCGTGCAAATAGCAGACTGTCCGGTACAATACCGGACACCTGGCAACCCTAGCCAGTGCACCAGGCTGCAGATTGAAGCCCAGTGCCATGAAATGGCCGTGAGAACGGCCCATTGGGGCTGCTCGTTGAGGGACTAGCCTGCACCGACGGGTCGTTCTGTCCCAGGGGTGCACCAAAGATTGGGGGGGGCGCAGAGACGGTAACTTCCCAATGCCTTGGGACAGGCTCTCTGGGCCCAGGGAAACTACCTGACTTCTGAGGTGACACCCACACAAACACACACACATGCTGCCAGCTCTGCTGAAAGGCTCATGGGAGCCAATTCCTTTTTGGGTGGGTGGGGGCGACAGACTGCTGGGGAGTTCTTTGGCATTAGAAAAGGTTCAGAGAAGGGCAACTAAAATGATGAGGGGTTTGGAACGGGTCCCATATGAGGAGAGATTAAAGAGACGAGGACTTTTCAGCTTGGAAAAGGGGGGATATGAGAGAGGTCTATAAAATCATGAGTGATGTGAATAAGGAACAGTTATTTACTTGTTCCCATAATGTAAGAAGTAAGGGCCACCACATGAAATTAATGGGCAGCAGGTTTAAAACAAACAAAAGGACGTTCTTCTTCACATAGCGCACAGTCAACTTGTGGAACTCCTTGCCGGAGGAGGTTGTGAAGGCTAGGACTAGAACAGGGTTTAAAAGAGAACTAGATAAATTCATGGAGGTTGAGTCCATTAATGGCTATTAGCCGGGATGCGTAAGGAATGGTGTTCCTAGCCTCTGTTTGTCAGAGGGTGGAGATGGATGGCAGGAGAAAGAGCGCTTGATCAATCCCTGTTTGGTTCACTCCCTCTGGGGCACCTGGCATTGGCCACTCTTGGCAGACAGGATACTGGGCTGGATGGACCTTTGGTCTGACCCAGTGTGGTTGTTCTTATGTTTTTATGCTCGGGGTCATGGGTGCAAGTGACACAGGTTCCTGCAGCCTGTATCAGCAGAAAGGCAGCAGGGCATCTGGTCCTGTTACATTTCACTAGCTGCCAAAGCGTGGTCGAGTGCTGCCCCCTGGTGGTCTGAACGGAGCTCATGCATTGCTGGCCCAGAGCTGGGAGCCAGGTCTATGCCAGGCTATCAAAGGGACAGGCTGGGAGGTCACCAACTCGGGTGGGGGGAAGGGACGAGCTTTGGAGCTTCTCAGCGCTCATCTTCAGGTCACCTCCCCCCCAAGAGACGGGGTGGGGGGGGGGCTGGGTTAAATCCCCTGGCTGGGGAGCAAAACCCCACTTTGTCAGATGAATGGAGGGGAAATTATCGAGCCGGGACGGGGAACCTTTTTGGGGTCGGTGGCTGCTGACCCACAGACGCGCAAGTGAGAAGCAAACAAAACCAAACCAAACCCTCCTGGACTGAGAAGCAGAAAGGCATTCCCCACGTTCTCCTCACACCAGAGCCAAGGGGGGCCCAGGCTAGTAGATTTTGGGTGCTCCAGCCCCACAGGGGAAGGGGGAGGGGTTGGAGTACCAGCGTGAGGTCTCCAATCATGGGGAGAGCCCCGAACCACCTCAGAGGCCGGATTCAGGCAAGCTGGAGCCACATCCGGCCTCTGATCCAAGGCACCCCACCCCTGTGACAGTGGCAG